TCTGTTTCTGATCCAGCCACGGCGAGAGACAGGGCACTAAAGGGAGGCCCCTCCGAGATAGCTCCCTGACCTTTGATCCCTGCACCTGTTCATCGCACAAGCTCCTCTCTCGCCATGGGGTTTGTATCTCACTGTGAGTTTGAAACAGGACAACCCAGGCTCAGGTGACAGCGGGCTCTTTGGGGGTCCCCTGGCAGGGGGTGGGGGTGGGGTGGGAAGAGTACCTCCCATTGCAGAGGCCCTGGTGCACCTGGACAGCTGCCTCTCTGGGAAGCCTGGAGGGGGTCTGGGCCTGCACACAGGTGCTTCTGCCTGGTGGGGCACAGGCGTGTTTGGCTGGGCACGCAGCTTCTGTTCCAAGCCAGCCCTGCTATTTCTCAGCCCTCAGTCACTGGCTCCTGTACCCTGATCTTCCTAACAGCAAACTCCCTCCCTACCAGCACTTTTTTCTTCTTAAAAATATATCTATTTATTTGAAAGTTACAGAGAGAGGAGGGAGGGAGGAAGTACACCATCTTCGCCGGTTCACTCCCAAAATGGCCACAAAGGCCAGAGCCAGGATGATCTGAAGCCAGGAGCTTCTTCCGGGTCTCGCACGCGGTGCAGGGGCCCAAGGACTTGGGCCATCCTCCACTGCCTTCCCAGGCCATAGCAGAGAGCTGGATTGGAAGTGGAGCAGCCGGGACTCGAACAGGTGCCCATATGGGATGCTGGCACTGCAGGAAGCGCTTTATCCATTACACCACAGCACTGGCCCCTGATTCACTCTCTAAATGCTCACAATGGCTGGGGCTGGGCCAGGCTAAAGCTAGGAGGCTGGCAATCCATTTAGGTCTCCCATGTGGGTGCAGCGGCCCAAGGACTTGGGCCATCCTCCACTGCTTTCCCAGGTGCGTTAGCCGGAAGCTGGTTGAGAAATGGAGCAGCCAGGACTCAAATGGGCTGTCCTGAGGGATGTGGGCTTTGAAAGCTGGCCCTGCCATATTCAAGGAGATGGCCCTTTTGGGAGGTCAAAGTTCAGATGAGGTCATGGGGGTGGGCCCCATGGTGGGCTTCAAGAAGAGGAAGCGAGACCAGAGCCCTCATCGCCTACTTTCCCTGTGGCTCTTCTCTTTTTAAAAATGATTTTTAAGAAAAATTGTTCGCTTATTTTATTTGAAAGGCAGAGAGAGAGTGAGAGAACAAAAGATCTTCCAGCTGCTGGTTCACGCCCCAGATACCCCCAGAGCTAAGCCAGGCTGAAGCCAGGAGCCAGGAGCTCCATCCAGGCCTCCCCCATGGGCGACAAGGACTCCACCACTTGAACCAGCACCTGCTGCCTGCCAGGTGCATGGTACAGGCAGCTGGGATTGCAAGCAGAGCCAGGACCATGGGCCCGCAGCTCTGTCGGGTTTGACCTTCCTCTCTCACAGAGGCAGCCTCAGGCAGTGGAGGGGATGTGGGAGAGCAGGGGTGGCATTTGTGGGGGGGGCACCACAGTATGACGTCATCGTGTCCAAACCCCCCACCAGCTGCCTGCTCGTGTAGGGTGCAGCTTACAAGGCAATGCAAGTGTTGCCACTTGTTTGCCATGCCCAGTCCCCTTTCTCCACCACACCTGGCGCACACCTGTGCAGCTGTGTGCGGCTCCCTCAGCAAGTCACCACTCTCATCGCCACATCTGAGCTGGGTTGTTGGTGTCGGCATCGGGCAGGCTCTGTTTCACGACTGGTGCTGCACCGATCCGAAGCCAGGAACCAGGTGCTTCCTCCTGGTCTCCCATGTGGGTGCAGGGCCCGAGCACTTGGGCCATCCTCCACTGCCTTCCCAGGCCATAGCAGAGAGCTGGACTGGAAGAGGGGCAACCAGGACTAGAACCCAGCGCCCATATGGGATGCCGGTGCCACAGGAGGAGGATTAACCAAGTGAGCCATGGCACCGGCCTCCCTTCAAGCACTTTTCAAAGTGTTGCTTTCAACGCTCCTTGCCCCTTGCAAACGTCCTGTTTGAGATCTCGGGCCATGATCGTAGCCATGCAAAATGTCTCTAGCCCACGGCCAGCGTCTGGGGGAGCGTCTGTGTGTCTAGCCCACGGCCAGTGTTTGGGGGGGGGCTGCCCGGCTTACCCCTGCAGGTGGGCAAGAACGTTGAGCCGTTCGCTTTGACGGGGCCTGGATGGGATTTTGTAGAGAGGACAATTCAGAGTCGCCTTCTGCTCGCGTGGTCCCCTGGTCAAGTTCAGAAACTTTGACGCGAGACCAAGAGGCTCCCCGGTTGTGACGCTTCTGCTACCAGGAGTGGAGCCTGGCCCATTCCTGAGTTACCCTGGGATCCGGAGCGGCTGGGAGCGTGGCTGTCCCCGCTTCCGGAACCTCTGCGGGGGACTGCAGAATCCGTGTCCTTAAGGGCCATCCGGGGGTGGCGGTGGGGGGAGGGGATTTCTGTTTTAGATTAACGGGAGGATTTATCATGCCCTGGGGTCAGTATTGACCTTGGCTTGGGCTTGATGAGCATTTACTTCTCCGTGGGTTCGGTGGCTCCGGTTGCTGACTTCAGCAGAAGGGAGGAACTGCTCTGTGCCGGCCCAAGAGGATGCTGCGTGTGATTTTCTTATCAGAGGGGCCTGGAAATGGAGCTCCGTGAGCTCTCCTCTCCTGTGTCCGGAAATCTGATCCCTCTTTGTTCAGGACAGCGCGGCGGGAGGAGCCGGCCCTGGGCAGGCGGCCCCTCTCTCGTCTTCTGTGGCATGGGGACCGTGGAAGCCACCACTGTCGTGAGCAGTGGGGGACAGGAAGGCTGGGAGGCAGCGAGCCTCATCGGTTCAGCTTCTGTTTGAGCCAGGTGTGGGGCGGCTGTGACTGCTGCCGGTCACCAAGGAGCCGGGAGGAAGCAGCCAGCACACAACTCCGGGTCCAGGCTCCGAGGCTCGGATGCTGGCTTCCTCGGCCTCCTGGGAAAAGGCAGGGGACTCTGCCCCCCAGAAATTTCAGCGTCTGTTGGGGGGAACGTCAAGGACACTGCTGGTTTTTCTTTTTTTTTTTTTTTCAGATTTATTTGGGGCCGACGTTGCAGCACAGCAGGTTAGATGTGGCCATATGAGCGCCATTTAGAGTTCCAGCTGCTCCACTTCCTATCCAGCTCCCTGCTAATGGCCTGGGAGAACAGAGGAAGATGGCCCAAGCGCTTGGGCCCCTGCACCCACGTGGGAGACCCGGAAGAAGCTTCTGGCTCCAGGCTTCAGCCTGGCCCAGCTCTGGCCATTGCAGCCATTTGGGGAGAGAACCAGTGGATGGAGGATCGCTCTGTCTCTCCTCCCCTTTCTGTAACTCTTTCAAATAAATAAATAAATGTTTTAAAAAAGAAAAAAAGGCAAATGACATCTCTTACTTAATAATATGCCTGTGTTTATTTTATTATTGTATTTTAAAGATGTATTTATTTATTTGAAAGGCTGAGTTACAGAGAGAGAGAGAGAGAGAGAGATCTTTTTTTTTTTTTTTAAATTTTTTGACAGGCAGAGTGGACAGTGAGAGAGAGAGACAGAGAGAAAGGTCTTCCTTTGCCGTTGGTTCACCCTCCAATGGCCGCCGCGGCCAGTGCGCTGCAGCCGGCGCACCGCGCTGATCCGATGGCAGGAGCCAGGAGCCAGGTGCTTTTCCTGGTCTCCCATGGGGTGCAGGGCCCAAGCACCTGGGCCATCCTCCACTGCACTCCCTGGCCACAGCAGAGAGCTGGCCTGGAAGAGGGGCAACCGGGACAGAATCCGGCGCCCCGACCAGGACTAGAACCCGGTGTGCCGGCGCCGCTAGGCGGAGGATTAGCCTATTGAGCCGCGGCGCCGGCCAAGAGAGAGATCTTTCATCTGTTGGTTCACTCCCCAAATGGCTGCAACAGCCAAGGCCGGGCCAGGTGGAAGCCAGGAGCCAGGCACTCCATCCTGATCGCCCATATGGGTGCTGGAGGCCCAAGTACTTTGGGCCTTGCCATGTGCATCAGCAGGAAGCACACACCCCAAAGCTCCAGCGTTGTGGTGCACTGCATCGGGTTAAGCTACTGCCTGTGCTGCCCATTTCAGTCCCTTCCCAAAGAAACACCTGGAAGGTGAGGGTGGTGTGATTGCATCTGCAGCAGTTTTCACTGCACTCTGCAAGTGCTGGGCACACAGAGGTCCCCCGGTGCACATCCAGAGGCCGGGATGACCGTCCTGCCCCAGACATGAGGACAGGGACCCAGGTCGCACAACTGTCCCTGTTGCGGCTTCTGAGAGGTCTCCCTGACAACGTTTATCCCCCAGAGACTCCTGAGCTACAGGGCGTCGCCTCCTCGTGTCCCCTGGGCCCCTCTAGCTTGGGTCCAGCAGAAATGAACTTAAGATCACAAAGAAATTCCTGTTCGTGTGACGCCTGCAGGATGAAGCCGGTTTGCAGGCGCCCGAATGCCTCTGGTCTTTAAGATCTCATTACTCGAGTTCAGTGGGGAAGGTGGGAGACGGAGCTGACACATTCCTGGGGAGGGGATGACCTCATCACTTACTAGGTGCTGGCCAACTGCCCAAGGAGCAGGGTTCAAATTCCTTTCGGGGGAGGCACTGTAAACCACCCCCCTGTAACCCGAATTCTCCAAATCTTTCAGGCCCCCAGGGAAGAATGGAAGGCGAGAGGAAGGAAGCCAGGTTCTCCTTGCTGGGAAGTGTGGAAATTTCAGGTTCAAAGCAGTCGGGAGTCGAGGGACTGGAGGGAATGGGAGCTGTGGCTCAGGGGGAGAGGGGACAGCGTGCTGCCTGTGATCTCTTGGGATATGTACAAGGGGAGTCCAGGAAGCTTCTAGAAAGCTGAACGAAATGCTGCTGATTTTGGTGCAAAATCGTTTGAAGTCCATGCATACAAAGAGTCTTCAATAAGTCCAGGAAAACTGTGCGTCGTGCAAACCTGGGCATGAACTGCAACATCTTTCGCACCTAATTAAACCTAGAGTCTCGTTTCTTTTTTTTTTTTTAAAGATTTATTTTATGTATTTGAAAGGCGAAGTGGCAGAGAGAGGAGAGACAAGGAGAAAGAGTTCTTTCAGCCGCAGGTTCACTTCCTCGGATAGCCGAAATAGCCAGGGCTGGGCCAGGCTGAAGCCAGGAGCCTGGAGCTCCCCCTGGGTCTCCCACGCGGGTGCAGGGGCCCAAGCACTCGGGCCATCTTCTGCTGCTTTCCCATGTGTATTAGCAGGGAGCTGAACTGGAGCGGAACAGCCGGGATTTGAACTGTGGCTCCCTCCAATATGGAATGCAGTGGCGTAACCTGCTGCACCACAACGCTGCCCCCTCACTCCAAGTTCCTGTGAACTCTGCTTGTTTATCCACTGGTGAGCGGGACCTAGGAATCGAACCCACACTCTCCTATGGGATCTGGGCATCCCAAACAGCAGCTTGACCCACTGCCCCACAATACCCACCCCTCCTAGACTCGTCCATACGGGTACCTGCTGGGCCAGGGACACAGGTGGGCCCCAGTCAGGAGGGGGTCTGTGCCCACCACACTCCCCACCCCAGGCTGTGCTCCATGGCCACGTACTGCCCCAGTCCTTTGGCAGGCAATTTACAGACCACATCTCTCCACCCTCGGCTGGCCCAGTGCCGGCCTCAGGGCCCCCTCAGCCCTCGGGATGCCTTTGGGACCAGGAGGACAGGCTGCGCTTAAAGGCTGGGGAGCCGAGCGGGGGATGGAGCCCAGGTCCCACCTGTGCCTCCTGAGCTCGGGGCCTCTCCCCAGGAGACAGCTGATAGGGTGGGCATGGAAGGGGAAGAAGATCCTAGGGAAGCTGCAGCCGGCTCCCTATGGCATGAAGGGGAGTGGGCACCATGCGGTTTTTCTAGCGTAATGTTGTAAAACTTCATTTATTTTTGTATTTTTGCATTTGACAGGGAGGGAGAGAGAAAGAAAACACTCCTATCCATTGGCTCATTCCCAAACGGTCCCAGCGGGCCAGCCCAAAGCCGGGACCTGCAACCCCATCCAGGTGGCCCACGTACCCACCCTGGAGACCCAGGGTGGCAGGGGCTCCAGCCCTCGGGCCATCACCTGCTGCTGCTGCCGCCCGCCAGAACGGGTATTAGCAAGGAGCTGGAATCCGGGGCTGGGACTCGAACCCGCGCATTCAGGCCCATCAGGCGTCCTCATCAGGAGCACAGATCCCAGCTCCCGGCTTTCACTTTGTTGGAGCCTCAGTTTCAGCCTCTGGGAAATGGGGACGGCACGGTGGGGATTCAGCCCCAGGGACCCCCGGGCGGGAAGGCTTGGCTCGGGCCACCGCCGTCCCCGCCGGCCCCGGGCCGCCGAGGGTTAAGGAGGAAGCCCCACGCCCCCTTTGACGGCGCAGAGCCCACCTCGCCGCCGAGGCTGAAAAGGCGGCGTCGGAGAGGCGTGGGCGCCCCGCAGACCCTCCCCGCTGCTCCGGGCCGCGGCCGCGGGTTCGGTCCGGCCGCCGGCGCGCTCGTCGTCCCCGGGTCAGGATGAAGCTGGCTCTGCTCCTGCCCTGGGCGTGCTGTTGCCTCTGCGGGTCGGCGCTGGCCACCGGCTTCCTCTACCCCTTCCCGGCCGCAGCCCTGAAGCAGCCGCACGGCTACCCCGAGCCTGGCGCAGGCTCCCCCGGCAGCGGCTACGCGAGCCGCCGGTGAGTGGGGGGCTAGGGGCGGCGGGGCCCGGAGGCCCGGGATGGGGACCCGGGGCGGCTGGAACCGGGGCCGGCGGGAGCTGGGGGCGCGGGGCGCGGGACCCGGGGCGGCTGGAACCGGGGCCGGCGGGAGTTGGGGGCGCGGGGTAGGGGACCCGGGGCGGCTGGAACCGGGGCCGGCGGGAGCTGGGGGCGCAGAAACCGCGGGGCGCGGGACCCGGGGCGGCTGGAACCGGGGCCGGCGGGAGCTGGGGGCGCAGGGTAGGGGACCCGGGGCGGCTGGAACCGGCACCGGAGGCGGAGACCTTTGGGGACCCCGGATGCCTGGAAAGCGGGACAGCGGAGTTTGGGGGTGCAGGGCGGGGGTCTGAGGGTGGGGCCCGGGCTGCAGGAGTCTCGGCCGCGCCCACTCTATCTTCCTTTCTTTCTCTGCTTTCCCGAGTTTCGCGCTCCGGACTGCGGGCGCCCAGTGCAAGGGCTCGGGCGTGCGGCGGGGGCGCCCGCCGCTTGGTCTCCGGCTCACGTGGCTGCGCCGAGCTCACCTGCGCTGCGGCGGCTTTGTGCTGCGCCGCAGGTTCCCCGGGGGTGCGAGGCCGTGGGGGGCCGGCTCGGGCGCCTCTCCCTGGGGCCACCCGGAGACAGCGGAGGGGCGATTCTGTGCATCCCTTGGGCGCTGGGGCCGCAGGAGGGCCTCGGCTGCCGGTCCCCAGCCAGCCCGGGCCGCGAGGCCGCCGCAGGTCGGCGGAGGAGCCGGGGGGCGCGTGGGCGGCCGCTCCCTCCATCGCCGCCAGGGGGCGCCCTGGCTGCTGCCGGGAAGGTCTGCGCTGGGTCTCCTAAGCCCACCCTGGAACCCCCCGCCCCCAGCCAGAAGCCAATCAGCGCTGCGGCGACTCGCTTGAACTGGAGCTCCCGCATTTAATGGCAACCGGGACGCAGGCAGCTCGACTCGCGGGCCGACGCATCCCGTGTGCTCCCCACACCGTCCCCACTCCTTGGCTCCTTAATCCCATCCCAGGGTTATGGAACTGCCATTGATGGCGGAAACCTAGGCCCAGAGAGGGTGCGGTCCCGTCAGTGGCAGCTCCGCACCGCAGCTTCGCGCCCGGGGCCGCCCTCCTCCGAACCGGGCGTCTCTTGCAGGCTGAGGGGCCCGTCCCAGGCGCTGCCTTGTGGGAAGGAGACAGGGATAAAATAATAATAATAATAACCTGTCTGGAAAAATCTGGTGTGCGATTCTCTCTCCCTGGCTTTGTTTGGAAATAGTTATCGGCCCTAACCAACACCGTGGCCACGGGCACCGCGGGAGAAGAGCCACAGGGCAGCAGGTGCAGCGCCATCTTATTGAGGAACATCGAGCAGGGAGAGCGCCCCTGGGTGTGTGAATGCCTGGAACGGAGTTTTTAGGGAGTCTTTTTCAGCAGGTGGCTACACAGAGAGGCTTGCGGCTGGGCTAGGAGGTTGCAGGGAATGCTCACTAACGCCGCCCCCCCCCCCCCCCCCCCCCCCCCCCCCCCCCCCCGAGGGCTCCAGATCTGCCGGTGCGATCAACTCTGGGGAGAAAAAAAATTTTGCACCTGTACTGAGCAGGCACAGACTGGGTTTTCGCCTCATTGTTCCCCGAGTGGTGCAGTGCAGAGCTGTTTGTGTTGTCTTTGGTACTTCAAGCTGTCTCAAGATGATTGAGTCTACACACGGTGTGCGTACCTCCAGGGTAAACCCGGCACCATTTAATTTGAGAATCTTAGGTTTTGTAAGCATTATTTTTTTTTTTGAAAGGCAGAGTGGTAGAGAAATAGAGAGAAAGAGAGAGGTCACCCATCCACTGGTTTGCTCCCCAAATGGCCACAATGGCTGGGGCTGGGCCAGGCAGAAGCCAAGAGCCCAGAGCTCCATCCGGCTCTCCCACGTGGGTGCAGGGGCCCGAGCACCTTCCGATGCTTTCCCAGGCACATTAGCAGGGAGCTGGATCGGAAGCGGAGCAGCCAGGACTTGGACTGGGACTCTGATGTGCGATGAAGGCGTCGCATGCCACGGCTTAACCCTCTGTGCCACGAGGCCAGCTACCATCCTCCGATTCTGAACTCCATGGGGGTTTGTGGGCTGGGGGGGGTGCATCCTGGAACCCACCCTCCATGGATACCAAGGAACAAATGTACCCTGTTGTCCACTGCCTGCTTGCGTCTTGTCTGCCTGGGTAACTTTTGTGATTAAAAAGTGCAGGAAGAGAGAATAAAGACTCCGCACGGAGGTCAAGTCCACGAGTGTCGGGGTGGCTGGCGGGGTGTTGCGGGTTCCCTGGGGTTTGGGATGGCAAGGACCTCCCAGGGTTCAGACATAAAAAAGAGGCTCAGACAGATGTGGGAATCTTCCGGAACACCTCCCACCGGGCTGGGAGCAGGGAGGATGTGAGGACTGTGTGGAAAACGGATTCCTTCTGGAGGTGTCGAGGGGGCGTGGCCTGCTCCCCAGAGTTCCAAACCCCGCACAACCGTTACAACTTTCTGTGTCTCCTGAGCTGTCAGTCACAGGTAGCCCTCATCCTGGGAGCCTAGAGCCTGGGGCTGGTGGCAGCGTCAGCTCCGAGGGGACCCCATGGCTGTGCGTCGTGTCTCCTTGGGGTCTGAGTGTGCACACGCCGCCTACCTGTACCCACCCTCCAGGGGATGGGTAGCTTGCCTTACCCAGGGGTGCTCTGTTGGGGTCTCCCCTGTTAGAAGCCTAGGACCCCTCTGTGGAAGCCACTTTGGCTCCAGGAACAGGCCCCCGATTGCCAGCGGGATTTCGCAGCTTTGCATCTGGGCTGCTAATGATTTCTGCCAGCCGCAGAGTTGTAGGGAATGCAGGGCTGCCCGCCTGGGCGGGTGGCACAGGCCGGCCCCACGCCATTCTCCCCGTCTACTGCCCCAAGCCGGAGAAGGCATTTGAGAAACTAAAGTCGGCAACTGCCCCTGGCCCCGGCAGATGCTCACCAGGGGTTCCAGCTGCTGTCTCCCCCGCCCCTCCGTATCCATCCTCGGAGGGGACCAGATGGCACTGAGTGGTCCAGGCGTGGGAACTGGAGCAGGAACCCCAAGCCCTGTCCCTGCCACGCATCTTCCAGCTGGAGGGGACAAAGCTGTCCACAGAAGTGGGGACGTTCCCCTCTCCAAGGGAGAGTGGAAGAGCTGCAGGCGTGTCTTTTTTGTTTGCTTGTTTAAGATTTATTTAAGAGGCAAAGTTACAGAGAGAGGGAGAGACACACAGAGAGATCTTCCATCCGCTGGTTCACTCCTCAATTGGCTGCAATGGCCAGGGCTGGGCCAGGCCGAAGCCAGGAGCCAGGAGCTTCTCCTGGGGCCTCCCACGTGGGTGCAGGGGCTCAGGCACTTGGGCCATCTTCAGCTGCTTTCCCAGGCATGTTAGCAGGGGGCTGGATCAGAGGTGGAGCAGCTGGCACTCAAACTGGCACTCATATGGGAGTCTCTCTCTCTCTCTTTCTCTCTCCCTTTCAAATTAAAAAAAAAAATAGGTCTTTAAAAACATACATCTATGTATGTAGTCTGCTCTCGCCTTAACAAGGACACTTGCCTACTGCCCAGGGCTTGTCAGCTTTTGTGCTGGGCCCCGCCCCTTCACTTCCGGTCTGATCCCACCTCACCCCTTGTCCCAGCCCAGGCCACCCACCCTCACCTAACAGTGGCCACCTGGCCCCAGCATCTCTGTGTTTGGTCTACAAAGGGGATGGTGGGCTGGGGGGGCGTGTCCCTCACCTTCTTGCCCTGTTGGGGGGATGTGGCCGAAGTGGCACAGGCCCAGGGCGAGGGGCTCCTGTAGTCCAAGGTTAAGGGGAGTTCTGTGTAAAGTCACCTGTGAAAAGAGGCTAGGACACGTGCACCCCAAGTCCTTGGGAGCTGAATGGCCTCCCCCCCCAAAGTGATGGAGTAAACCGCACCCGCGTGTCACACAGCACGGCCCCAGGGGGTGACTTCTTTGGCTCTCCATTTGGGGTAACAGATTCGCTGGGGGCCATCGGCCACCTGCTCCCAACCAGCCCAGGGCTTAGGTGCCGTCAGCGCTGCCCGTCATGCTGGAAGAACCGAGTGGCCTCCGCCATCCCCGCCAAGGCCACGTCTCTCTGTGGCTGTGGTCCCCGGCGAGGACAACTCTGTGGTCTCAGCAGGTCCGGCTCGTTGGTTGGAGGGGACAGGAGCCATGGGCGAGGGGAGACCCCAGGGCTGCTTTGGCTCCCAGAGGCCAGGGGCGTTTTGTCCCCAGCTCCGGCGTCCTCCCTGGGAAGAGACAGAGGTCAGAACCTATGGCAGGTTCCATCCAGAGTCCCTATGGTGAGTCCCTCCACTGGGGCAGGGTCTGATCCCCGCTGTGAGGACACGCTTCCCTCTCCCTGTCCTCGCCTTCTCCCCGCCACCCTCCCTCCTTGTCTGTCTCCCCCCTTTCCAACACGGCTCCCAGGTCCCCGTGCCTGGAAATGACATCGTCAGGAAATCCTCACAATTCTTAGCCTCACTTTTGTGTTTTGGGGGTGGCATTTGGTGGTGCCGGTGGCGGTGGGGGGAGGGGAGGACGTTGAGGCATCCTTGGGGGGGCTTGGTGCCAGCCTGGGTGATGCCCACCTCCTGTGTGGGGCCTCCTGCCCAGGGGTGGGGGGGAATTCTCAGCCTCTCTCCCTCTACCCTCCTGCTCCTCCACCTCTCCGGCCCTGCCCTACCTCTGGCTGTGGCCGTGTGTGGGTGCAGGGAGGGCTGGGATTGGTATGCACCTGCTGCAGTCCCGGGGTGTGTTTAGAACTTGATGGGGTGGGTGTGGTGATGGGAAACCTGCCTCCCAGTGCCTTGGTTTCAGATCTCACTCTGCCTCCCATCCAGTTCCTGCTACTGTGCACCCTGGGAGGCAGCGGGGGTGGGGGTGACCCAGGGACTTCTAGTGACCCTCCCCCCACCCCTGCCCCTTGTGGGGGTATCCTGGGGAAGGGGAGACACCTGGCTTGAATTCCCTGCTCCTGGCTGGGAACCACACTGAGAGGGAGAAACCACAGGAGAAGGGGGAAAAGACTTATGTCTCAGTACTTTTAATGGCAGCCTTCTGTTTTTTGTTTTGTTTTTAAGATTTGGGGGAAGAAAGGGAGGGAGAGAGCGAGAGCGAGAGCTTCCATCCACTGGTTCATTCCTCCCACGGCTGCAACAGCCAATACTGAGCTAGGCCAAAGCCAGGAGCCGGGAGCTTCATCTGGGTCTCCTGCGTGGGTGCCCGGTCCTCCGCTGCTTTCCCAGGCACATTAGCAGGGAGCTGGATCGGAAGTGGAACAGCTGGGACTTGAACTGGCGCCCCTGTGGGATGCGCCACGGAGCAGGCCCACTCTCCAGGTTTTGAACGAGGGCCTCCCATGTTGTTCAGCAGGGCTTGCTGTCACGCTGCAGGTGCGGCTCTAGGTACGGATCCCCTAAATGGCAGGGCTCATCGGGGGAAACTGGGGCGCTGAGGGAACCCGACCTTTGACGGAGCAGTTACGTCACCTGCGCGCTCCACCTGGCTCCGCCTCCTGACTTCCGCTTCCTGCACCTGTAGATCCTGGCCCGCCGTGGTGATGCCCAAGTTGCCATTCAGGTGGGAGACCGGCATGGAGTTTCGGGCTCCTGGTTCCCGTCCAGGCCCAGCCTTGGCCAGGGTGGGCATCTGAGGATTGGGCCAGCGGATCTAGAGCTCTCTCTCTCTCGAACACTAAAAAGCAGACTTGGATGTGCAGACCCACTT